CCCTAATCTGTTATTCACAATTATAAATAAATTTAAATGTCAGCACATTATATTATATATTTAACTAAAATCTGATAGGCCATATTCAGTAAACAAATGTAAAAGAGAAATAGCAAAGCAGTAAAGTGCATTTTGGAAGTTGAAAAGAGAGATTGTTGTTATTTGAGAATATCCTTAATAAAGTAAATTTACTATGTATATCATATATTATGTAAAAGTGATAACTATATACACGGAGCCTAGATAACAGGAGGGCGATCGACATAGGAAAATATCGAGTAAACATCATGCAATTGCATTATTTTTTTAATTTATAAAAAGTAATATTTATTTAAAAATTGTAAATAAATGTATTGTTCATGGAATTACAAGTGGATTAGAAAAATACGTCTTTATTCACTGTACCACAGGTAATATAACCTTAATCGATAGTTATTAATTACTAATATAAAAAACTGCAATGATGCAAATAGTAAAAAGTCTAGTCTTGTAAAAAGTGCAATTTACGATAATAAATAACAATTTACTTTTAATTGGACTTTTTAAATTTAATTTCCCATCCTTTACTTAACTGCGACTAGGTAAGATGAAATTGAATAGTTTTACACAATAAGTTGACGGTAATATCTTAAGAATATGTGTAAAATAATAAAAAATTTTTTTTTATTGCTACTTTTAACGTTAATTATAGGATTTGATCAATTTATTTTGACTAACATGAGTACAATTCTTACATTCCCGCGACAATAAACAAGGTTTTAAAAACCTGACATTAGCCACACTAACGCGCTCTAGTGGCAAAAGATTTGTCCTCTCATTTTCGGACATTTGCAATACATTGTGATCGCCCTTCTGTTATCTAGGCTTCGTGATCATGAGTCTAAAGCTAAAATCCCTAGAACTTGTAGCCAACAGCCATGTGCCTATTATCTTGTGGGTTGCCTCTTTTATTATCGTTTTATTTTTTAGAACGTATTTTGTATCGATAAGAAAATTAATATACTATAATATTAGAAGAGAATTATATTTATTCAGACGATCTTTCAAAACATCTAATAATGAATAAGGAAGCGAACGGAATGATCGAGGAGAGCAATTGCTTCGCTCATCCGGTGTCTAAAAGGACTTGAATTTATCAGTGAATAAGAAATGGCGCGCTACTAGCGCCTGCTTTCACTGTGGGGAACCAGGACTTGGACCAGGACCAACTCTTGGACGCTATATAAAGAACTGCGTCTTTTTCGACTGTTACATTACAGTACATTTTGTCGGTACGCTAAACGCATATCGCTACATAGGGATCCTGTAGGAGGGATGCGCCATTCATATTCAGCTCATGTGCCATCGGCTGAAAATTTTGGGGGACCGCTTGAATTTATAATAATTTTTTCGTGTAACCTATTCTATTTTAATATAAATTTTTAATTATCATTAAATATTGTTCATTTTTTTCTATATTTGATGCAATTCATTATTTCATAATTATTTCAATGTTTAAATCATTCGCGCGCAAAATCGAGTTCCGGTCCCCCAGCAATTTACATGGCGCATCCCTCCTATAGGATCCCTATCGCTATACCACTGATAGCGCTTCTTCCGCTGATGTTTGTGCTGCCCTCTGATGTTACTAGTGGGAGGTGGCTAAAACACCATACTTCGCAGTCTTCTGTTTTCACTCGTATCACATGAGAAAGGATAGAGTTTGTGTCAAAGTTTGAAAGATGTTAATTGTTTATAAAAAAATGCCACGTGCTTGATCAAATAGTGTATAACCTCAGTCAATCACTATCAGATCTTTTAAGGTTTGTGAAATAAATTTAATTGGTTTAAAAGTAATTGTAACAACAGGTATATTTGTAATAATAACAATCTATGTATATAAAAACGTAGATTTCATTTGAGCCTAATTGGTAATCTCTAAGAGTACTTTCCCGATTTTCTTGAAATTTTGACAATGTTGCATTCGCATACAGCTAGATTTTTATTATATTATTTTATTTATAAAATAATTATTTAATTTTTGAAAAATAATTGTTTTTATGACTGTAGATTTCAATGAGTTCTCAGAACATTTGAACATATGTAAGGTGAGAAAAAAGATAAAGAGTGCGTGTATGCATGTGTAGGAATATTTTTAAAAGTATCAATAGACGTCGGGAAAATGTTCTTATTTGGTGCGTGCGGCGATATAAATGGGAGTATGTGCATAAGAATATTTAGACCGCCGAGTTAGATAATAAGGAAAACGATCGCTATAGGCAATTTGTCATAAATTGTGTCCCCTAAAAAAGTAACAATATACCAATATTTATTTCTGCCATTAAGGCAGTATGGTGATTACCTCGATCATTGTGAAGTCACAGAAAATCATTGAGCATTGCGTATTTGTAAACATACATGTGTTCTAAACAGCTACAGTGCACCCTGGAATAAAACTTTATTTGTTCTGTATTTTGGCTATACTTTTATACACAGCGATCGTTCTCCTTATTATCTAACTCCGTTGTTTAAACTGAAAAGAAAGCGAGCATGTTTTATTTGTCATATGACACTACTTAATATTGTCACTTTGTGTATGTAGTATGTGTTAAATTTTCTGAATTCTTAATCCAACTGTTCACTAAAATATCCTTTTCTATATTCCCTTCTAACATCCTTATTTCTGTCCGTTTATAACAACATATTTATTCTTACTTTATTCTAACATCCTTAGTTCAACCGTTCATTACAGTATATTTATTCACACTGTCTTATGATTCACCTTTATGATATCACCTGTGTCCTCACGCATACATACACAACACTCACATATTCTCTTCCTTCTTCAGAGAAATAAAGGATTATATTTCTTATACTTTCCCTTAAATAGAAAAACATCTTCACTTATCCTAGAGTATCTATTTACACTTATAAGAAGGTCGTTTTTACCTTTTATAAAACCATGTATTTTCTCTTAATATGTGAGAAATGTATTTATTCTATTCCCAAAATAGCTACCTAAAAAATAACTACAAAAAAAAACCCTTAGTGTACATATCTAACGTATGCATGACGCAATAAATTTACTTAATATTTTAACAGTATGAATGAAAGCCAAAGTCTCTCGAACATTCTCGATCCGGAAGTATAGGAAAGATCCAGTTTTTACACTATCGAGAATGATCTGGAGGCTTCGAGGAAGAATGCAATAAGAAGCGAAAAACAATAGTGAGGGTAATAAGTATATAAAGACAACGCGAAGGGTAATTGTCTTCACTGGTTGACAACTAATGTAAACAACCAGGAATACTTTTGAGTGTATTAAGGCTCAGTATGATTCTTCAATGTTTATGTACAATTTTTGTTTCTATTTAATTAAATATTTCTAATATTTAATTTTGTATTACATTGTGTTGAAATTGAGTTAAATTATTTTGTATTGTCTTCTAAAGGGTTGAGGAAGCAAGTTAGGTTATCTTCTACAGAAAACATGCCGTTTATACGTCTTTTCGTATAGGGAAAGATTAAGGGCTAGAGGGCCGGGAGGACGGAAATCAAATTCGTCTCGGAGAAGGGAGGTGTTGTAACATTTAACCCCTTGCACTATGCTGAAATTCAGAACAAGCCGTGCCTTAGGCTTAGTTCACATTGGGCGCTCAGCGTTGCGTTGAGCGCACGTTGGTTGCGGTACACACACCGCACTTAGCACGGCGTTCGAAATGCGTTAGTAAAGCGAATATACGTGGCTCAGTTCGGAAATGGACATCGTAGTGTTTGCTTGTGTGTGTCAAACAAAACAAAATCACGCGATCAAATGTACAACTTTATGGTACATATTCACAAAAAATGTGAATGCACGTTTGACGCGCGCCTGCATATGTACACTTCAATAGAAATCCTGGTTCTCAAAATGCGCGTTAACAAAGCGCGCTTTTGAAAGCGCCCAATGTGAACTTAGCTTAAGAGCACGAGTACGACTCGTGATATTCATGTTTGGCACGAAACAATCGATTACAATTCAGACTCGTGAAAATAGTGCAAGCGGTTAAGAAACTTATGATTTATCTTTTTTTTCTTTTCTATTTAATCATACTAAAGCCACAGCAAAGCGTGGCAGGGCACAACTTGTTGTAGATAATAAATTAGTTGTATTGACGTGTTAACCGAGCTAATTAGCATATTTACGTTTTTCACATGAAGAAAGATAAGTAATGGAAAGGGAGGGAATAAAAAAAAGTTTCACGCCTCATTCGGATTTATATCTTTTGATTTTTTGTCAACAGGAATAAAATTCTCCAAAGACACAGTCGGACCCAATATCTAAGGATAGTGTTGGATTCGGGAACTAACTAATTCCGATTAAAGCAAGAGCGCGACTGATGTGCCTTCTAGGAAAAACTAGACAAATTAGTAATTTGTCCATTACAATTTAATAATTTCCCTTCTTTACTTATAAGAACAGACGTTCTTTATACGTTTAAATATTCTTACATAAACATTGAGTGAATTGTCGATAGAATACATGTAAAGTTAGAGTGTATTTAGAATCCTAAAAACAAAGGAAAAACAGTGACCATTGAGTCTTTATTACGTATCTGCGAGTTAGATGGTATACCATCCAAATGTATTTTGAAAACAATTCTATTTCATCGTAATTCAAGTTCTTGTTAATAATACTTTTGACGTTTTTATGTTAACGTATTTGATTTTATTTTATTAACGAATTAATTTAAATAATAAATAGAAAAAAAATCACAAAAAAATAATAAGTATTGAAGAGTTGTTATTCAACAAAATTATCATTGTATGTACGCATATACGTATATATTTTGTAGATAAAATTTATTATTTGACTTAAAGCTTTACAAAGGGAGTATGACGTTAATATAAATATATATTTATATTATATATTATATATTCTATATATTGAATTTATAAATTTTATAATAATTATTAAAATAAATATAATATTATATTTATTATAATTATATATAAATAATTGTTCAAGAATTTAAAGCAAGATGAGCGATAAAGAATTCTACACTTGTCCTTACGATTCTAGTCATCGCATTCATAGGACTCGAATGGCTAGACATTTATTAAAATGTAAAATTAACCATCGTAATGTAAACGTGATAGTTTGTCCTTATAACAAATTACATGTACTGGATCCGTATCAATATGAATATCATCTAACTGTATGTGAAGAACGTAAAAACTTCGAAAATTTTGTTTACGAAACGGAAAATAAACAGCTTGATACTTCATTTCCCGAAGTTCAAAATATTAAATTTTCACGATCTTCAGAAAATTGGGACAATTCAGGAAATGTAGTATCTTACCATTCGCATCTTGTTCAGGATGGTGTAACCAATCCAACTACTCGACGTCAAGAAGCTTTAGATAGAAACGAAGACTAAAAAAGAAAAATAAATCAAGAAGAATTGTATCGATCGAAGTTTGCAAAACATTACTTACACTCCTTTTAAAAAATTTGATCTAGTTAGAACATTCGATATCTTATTTTGCACATCTTTTTGCTCATAGTGTGGCCAGCTCAATAGTATTACATGTATCATTCCAGAATAGAAAATTATCTTTAAAGAAACACTTCCAAAAAGATGAAAAGTTAAGCGAACCTAATCGATTAAAGTTAACAATGTACTCCTGCTACTTACAGTCAAATCTGAAAGAACCGAGACATTCGACATAGTCAACCAGTAAAGTTGTTCCATGTCCATTTTGACAGATTGAAAGATTACAGTAGACAAAATTTGTATCAGACTTAAACTATGAATAAGAAGAAAAAAAAAGTAAGAACCAAAGTCGAAAGACAAAATAACCATTAAAATTTTCTAATAAAATTTTATAAATAATTTTCTCGCTCTTTATCTATAAGACAACAAAAAATTATATTTAATGAATGATGTGCTTATAATTATCAAATATTCAATGTTATTATATTTTTATATCGTTATATTACGTTAATTTTACTTTAAACATGATTAGTTAGGCTAAATCATATTAAAGTATATACAAAGTAATGATAAAATGTGAAAATTATCTAATTTTTTAATTAATTTTTTGACAATATAAATTTTATAATATATTTTATATTATATGTATATTATCATTAACTTTGCCTTCATTAAAAAATTTTTACAATATAATAAGAATAAATATATAATAAAATAGAAATTAATCTATTTTTTTTCTTATATTCAAATGTAATAATTGAATTAAAGTATAGTTCTTTAAGGATTTAATAATTTTTGTATAATTTAGCCTAATTTCTATTTAATATTTTTAAATTTAAACTATTACACTTACTAATGATTAAACAATTTTCTGTTAATTTATTTTTACTGGAGTTATGGATTTTTTTCCCAAAGATTATCGGGTTTAATTTGAAATTTTAAAATAACACCTTGAATTTTGTTTTCGTTCATTTTTCTTTGAGATGTAGACCTTCACTTCGAGATTGTGTTTTCGACAGAATTACGACGAAAAATAATTACTCAAAACAAAGGAAACCTCTCCTACAAAGGTTTACTAATTGTAAGAGTGGAGAGGAGAGAGAGATGTGTTAATTTTTTTTTAATAAAATAATGCGTTTAACTATAACACATGGAAATCTGATTTAAATTTATAATATTATAGTATTATAATTTAAATTTTTACGATGTATTAATATGCAACAAAAAGAAAAAGATAAAAAATAGCATAATTGGGAACAACAATAAATAAAATATCGAATTATCGGAACATTATAATGATAATTTTATGTAATTTAGTTTAATTTTCAATTATGTAGTGATTATTGGGAATTAAAAAAATATTTCCATTATATTTTTCTAAATTTATATTATTAAGAGACTCTATATTATTATTATTATCATTATTGTAATAACTTAATACAATTTTAGAAAATTCTTAGTCACTGAGTCAAGTACAAAAGTTTTAATATTTATACACATATGTGATTTGTGTCATATTTTAAAAATTGCTACAGGGACCACCGCTACGCAGAGAGCCGTCTCCAGGCTGACGCCGAAGGAGCGGGAACTTGCCAACGCGTCACAAGCGCCTACTTAGTCCAGTCAAAATAGCACTGAAATCGGGTTTTTGAGCTATACGGCTGAAAAAATATGGAAATTATCAGAAAAATGCGTACAATACTGTGGGCAAAGTAAAAAAGTTCTCAACCACCGGGAAAGGGGTGAAAAAAATTAAAAACTACCCCAAAATACGATTT